GGGGGGTGAAAATGTGTTAGTTTGAATTGATTTGTTCACTTGAGCTCAAGAGAAGCTCTCAAACTGATTGTAAATTATAATGTTTTGTGCCCCCATCAACACAATGTGCGCTTATATTATTCTAGAGGCGGGCAGCCTTAAACTCTTCCTCCCAAGCCAACATAGGCTTTGAGAGACAGCTTACGTATTGTAACAATATTAGTCTATGCACATCTCGGCTGTAAAGGCTACATTCCTGTAGAAAGGTGGAGATGCTTATTAAAATAGGCCTCCACATGAGAACTGAACTCAAGTCCCTTGCATGCAAGACAAAGTGCCCAGGTATTGCATTACAAACTCTGGTAGGTACTCATACCAGTGCGATAACAATAATCTTGGAGGGGGTGAGGTGGACAGGATGGGGGACAGGCAGGGGAAGAAATATACAAAAAAACATAAACTGAGAAGGAAATTATGAGGCAGGACTTGCTAGTGACTCCCTCCAACCACCCACTCTCTGGGGTGGAGCAAGTGGATATAATATGAAATGAGCTGGGTGAGCTGAGCTGAGCTGAGCTGAAAAAGAAAGAAAGGTGATAATATAACTAAGACATACTTCATTTTTCCATCAAAACAATGTGTTCCTCAAACTGTTTTGAAAATCATACTCTTTGACTCTATGTATGTGTGTGTGTGCGCGCGCGCGCGCGTGTGTGTGTGTGTGTGTGTGTGTCTGTGTATGTATGTGTGTATGTGTGCGCCCATGTGTGTACCTGAGTAAAAGTGCCTGTTGTGTGTGCCACTGTGTATGTACGTAAGTGTATTAAAGTGCATGCAAATGAATGCATGAACGTATGTGTGCCTATGTGAGCTTATAAGTTCTAGAAGATGCACATAATTCAACAACTGTTCTGCATTGTCTGTGCACAGGTTGATTGTTGAACTCATCAGTTGCATCATGGACTCCCCGTGTGACAAACGCAAAGCAGAACGCTGGGTGAGAATTGGCTGTGGGAGGCTGGGAGTGTGTGATGGGATATAGATATATATATAGGACTAGAATAGATTATCTGATAGAGTGTAATACAAACTGCTTGGAAAAGCCAAAGAGTCATTATATTTGATTTTGTATACTGAGGAGAGACTTTAGAGCACATAGCAATATGAAGAGATTGGAATAATTTTGCACTACCTTCAAAACAGTAAAGGGGTGAAAAGGGTCCGCCTACTTTATATAATGTCGATGATTTTTTAAAATTTCTGTGTCACAGAAGTAGTGTCTACATTTTTAAAATAAAGATGCCCCACACCCCATGTTTAGAGATAATAGGTCTCTTTGAAAAGACAGGAAGCAATATATCTATTCATAGTTTTAGAAAGTCTTAAGTCTTATATATTTTTCTGGGCACGTTATTCGGTTGTTGTTTTTCTGCACTCCTAACACTCCTTTCCACTACTAATCAAAATTAGTTGTTAATTAAAGGACAGAACTTTTGGGAAAATTGTTATATTTACATAATATGAAAATTAAAACTGTCATCGCAAAACAGAAATTATAACAAGCACAGAAATTAGATTTTCCTCCAAAAACAAAATCACCAATCTGCTAACATGGTTCGTTTTTTAAGGTGCAGTTTCAGTTCCAACTCCTGAAGAGATACAGAATGATTAAACAGAGGGAAAAAGATCGATCGTTTTACACTGTTACCATGAGATGTACACCAGTATAGCCGAAACATTTCTTCAGTTTGGACAAGACATTGCCTTCGACATTAATTCTCACCATACAACATTGCAACAAAATACTAATAATCATCCACCAAAGGAATACCCACATTTTTTTAAAGAGTTTTGATCAGTGGTTTTTTTAACGTGCAGAGCCATCATATCATACTCCAGTAAGCCTAAGATATTTCCAAAGTGAAAGTATCACACATACTTTTTGAAATAAATCGTCATTTTCCTGATCCATGGAAACAAACAGGAAATTAATGTCATTCTCAATTGTCGTCTTCAGATTCGGGAAAGAGTGGAGAAGGAATCAAGAAAGCCTGGTTATCAATGCGGTTGGTCATAAAAATGTCTGGCATAGCTACTCTCTAAGAGCTTTATAGCCTCTGTTGATTGGGACAGAAATTTTGCAGCCTTTTTAGTACTAGTACTTGTTTGTTCCCTGTAGTTGTTAAGCTTCCAGAAGTCAAGTTCAAGGCTATAATAAGCAGATCTGTAACATTAAATTCTTCGGATATGACTTTCATGTCATAATGTACTTCTTAAACATCATTTTTTAGTTTTTATGATAAGTACTCCTATTTTCTGCCATACGCTGACTAAACACCTTTTTAAAAATTCACATCAGTTTCGAGAAATCAACAATTATTGGTTTTCTTGTAATATCTTAACTATTTTTCACAGTACATCAACCGTTGATCTAGCACCCTGGAGAGAATGCCATTCCTTATGCTCAACGGAATGGCCCACTATAGGAAAAACGAAAAAATCGTTGATTTCTAGAAACTGCTGTGAAAAGAAAAGGGCATTTTGTCAGCATATGGCAGTTTTGGGGATTTATAATTTCTTGGAAAAAAATGAGGCTAGGCCTAGTATTGTGAAATATATGATGCAACTGATCATTCAGCTATTTCAGTAGCAAAGCGCTTGTCATCAAAGCATTTTGGAAGTTGATCCGACGTGGTAGAAAGAGGAGGAAACCCAGGATTTTTAGAGAAAGCTAAGAAATAACCCTCAACTATTTATTAGGCGATTTCTACTAATGTATTCTCAAACAGATTTTTCTATTTTCTGACAGACATTGATCTCACGAATCTGAGGAAAAGAGAGGACAACAGAGATCAACAAGGTGATTCGAGCAAGGTTGATAAGTACAGAACCGACACTGACGACGATGCATTGGATGACAGAAACTCAGGACCACCAACTATATTTTCACCTTTGAATTGTTTTATTGCCTTAACATTGTGGATTTCCCTTTTCGTTGATATATTCTGATCGTTTTTTTAATGAATATGCACGAGTTACATTCAGCCTTTGTGTCTTCCAAGTTTGGGGCTGGTCCATATTACTAAGTAGTATGTAGGCCTATTCGAAATATTTGGTAAAAATGAGTAAGCAGAGCATTGATGGTATCACACATGGGCCATTAAGTAAAAACAATCAGGCTTTATGTTATAGTTTCTAATATATGCAAAATTCCATTGTGTTCGTTAGTTTACAAAAGATGAATTTCTTAGTTTCACACAGACAATGTCAGGCAACGTTGCACCAGGAACACCCCCTTTATCTTTTATTTTATCCAACACTATTTACTAAATCGAGGACAATTAATAGATATAAAGCCCATACTCGATGTGAAAAAGCTGATTTAGTGGAAGACTAAATTGTTTTTCTTAGAACTGATGATATGACACAAATGCTAAGTGCACATAATATATGTTTTCTTAACTTAAAGGTACCTCAGTCGAGAGACTGAGAGAGTTAACGGACAATTCTTTTTCTCAAAGTTGTTCACAGATGGTTCTCATTGTATAGAATTTTTTAAATATATAAATATATAGAAGTGACTATGTTCAATGTAATATAATTAATTAGTTTGAACATCCATGAAATCTGACATCTTCATGTTTTAAAAACTGATTCCAACAGGATTCTGAAAGTTGGATTGACAACACCTATTGCACCTATTGAACAGAGGTCTTAGATAAAGCGAGGGGGGGGGGGGCAGAGTGGCACCTGAAGGTCACTTTCAATAAGGATTAATTTTGATACTAGGCATGGTTAGTATATATATCTCACAACAAATTCCTCTCTGATCAGTCTTTCAGTTGTCATAGAAACTGTATAATCTTGAATTTTAGTTTTTAAGAATAAATGCAGACTGAACGGTTAATCTGATTTGCTTTTGAAAAGTAACGATCATATCATTTGCCGTTTCTATTTCAATTCATTTGTGAATTTGTTTCCCAACTTCTCAAACTTTAATAGAGGTCATTCCTTGAATGTAAAATACACTTTATAGGCAGTCCAGTTGAAAACAGAAGTAGCTGCATATAAAATCTCTGAAAAGTACTAACAGGAAGGATTTTTGAATGGACGCACCATTAGCTCATACGATATCAAGCTGGACTACAATATGGATGGCACTGGTTCGAATCCCCACCGGAGGATTCTGAACTTGGGTTGTTTTTAAGGTTTTTCACCCATTTGGAAGGGCCCTATTGGAGATAGAAGTTAAATTCTGAGGTCCTGCCTCTTTAATAACCTTATAGTGTTGAAAGAGGCATTAATCTTATACAATGACACTGAACAATGAGGATTTTTGAAGGTCCCACACTCATGTGTAGATGTTATGCTTGCTTTTGTGTGTTAAGACCTTACCCTACCCAAAGAACAAAGCAGGGGTTGTTTTTTTCTGATAACAGAACTGTTTTCAGCAGAATACTTTATCAAATCAAATAAGCTGAGAAGTTTGATTGTTGATTGCAAGCTATATAGTTTAGCAAGAGAATTGTTTTTTAGTCTACTGAGATATGTTCATGTTTCATTTTCTAATATTGTTTCATGTCCTGTTAATGCAAAGAACTGCTCATCAAAAGTATTTATTATTCTTGATATTAATGAAAGTTTAGACGAGGAAAAAAGCAAAGGAAGGCAATAAGACATAAAATATTAGACGGAAACAAAGAATGAATGGAAGCATGAAAATCAGGAAGCATGCCAGCTTAATAGTAAGGCATCAGACTCATAGTCAATAGATTGTGAGTTTGATTCCCAACTTTGCTCAGCATACTGTAGTATGTTTAGGAGCCGTACTTTACTCTCCTGTCTTCAGTTCATTCAACTGAATAAGGAAACTTGGTAACCGGCAGAGATAGAATATTATAATATGCTTGATTGTGGTATGTGCCCAACAAGAGGGCTAAGAAAACATAATGGAATAGACTGGTCAGTCAGGGGAGTTGCTTTGAAGTCGTGTGAAACTTCAATTGCAGGGGACACATGACTACAAATAATCACTTTTTTTTCACCTCTAGATCAGAGGTAGAAGGCAAGAGATGAAGGAGGAGACCTAGCAGAGCTACACACAGAAACCTGGCTTGGAACCAAAACAACTCGGGAAGCAAAATAGCAAGAGAAAAACTGTTTCATTGCCGAAAGGTCCAAGCAGCCAGATCAAAATATAGGAAAAACTGAAAAGAAGACCAGTCAACGTTTTGTGTTGAGTGATTTCAAAGAAAAATCAAAGCAAAATTGTGACACATTATTTCTCATCTACAGGACGACAGGGTATTTGATTGTGATCACTGAAAAAAAAAGCACCAAAAAAAAACTGGTTTTGGGGAATAAATCATTCAGAGTGCAGGCTAAACAAACCCAAGAAAAATGAACAAAGCTAAAAGTAAAAATTGGGCTCTATTTCTTGCAATACAAGTCCCCTCATGACGCGAACCATGCCTCTAAAAAAAGATTTCCTGATGAATTGCAGAGATCTTTTAATTCTTGCTTATCATTTTTCATGAATCACACTTTGCCATTTCATCTTTTTTCCACATCTGCTATATATAGATTTTCAGTTTTATATGAATTTGTTATTTATTTATATTATTAATTTTTTATTGCAATTTATTAAATGCATCGTTATGACTGTTAACTTTCATTAAAAATGTATTTGTTACTGAAAAACGAAGATGTGTTGTTTTGATGGGTTTTGTTCTTTTGTTTTCGTGTAAAAAAAAACAATCTGCCAGCAATAATCCACACTTGAGGATGACATCATACATCATAAGGCCAAGTCCACTACATCGAAAGAGTTGGAAAAAATTGCTAAAAAAGATGAATCATGAATCACTGAGGGAGTTTCATGAATATGGGCATATTTTTTCTTCCACTACAAACAGCAGAGGGCATTCCACTTTTTTTCTTTTTTTTTTTTTTTGCTTACTAGCGTGAATTTGAAATATTACATTTTCCATTTGAATAATGTGAACAAAAGCTTCAAGGGATGAACTGCCATACTGCATGTCTTTTTTTAGTTTTAGTTTTAGTAGAGGTTTTACGGCGCTCGCAACTGCATAAGGTCATATGAGCGCCAGAAGATTACAAGAGAGTAACGAACATAAAAAAGAAGAAGGGGAGATAAGGACGATAGATATTTGATAGGAAAGAAGAAGCAAACCACACCGGAGCACCCGCCAACTGCCCACTGCATGTCTTTAGGGTACCGAAATGGTATATATTAGAAAGAAATAGGCGAACAAAGGGAGTCACTGTGAAATCACAAAACCTTTGGGTGAAAGAGAAGCAAGAGTAGAAACTACAGTGGAGTCCACTTAAATCAAACACTGTCAACCAAAGATCAGAGGTAAACCAGAATAAAATTGAATCCCTGTTGTTTTTTTTCTTTGCTACTTGATCAATCTTTCTAAAGTGAAAACATGGCTAAACCAAGGAAAATTTAGCAGTCCAGCAAATTTCAGTTCAAACGGACTCCATTGTATTACAATTTTAATACCTTACTTTCAAAGTTTGATTCATGAAAAAGCAAATTCAACTGCCTACATACACATAGCTTTTGTTCAAGTTCAAGCCCAATATCCACTTGGACAGAATGTGTCGCTACAGGATACAGGGCCAAGAGGGACGATCCAGAAAAGGGCACCAAAATTTAGACTTCATGTAAATTTTTAGTTTTTTAGTTTTAGTTAGAGTTTTACAGCACTTGCAACACTTTTAGTTCATATATGTGCTGAGGAATAGAGATGTTAGAAGATAGCAGCATATAAAGAAAAAAAGGACAACAGATGTTTGATAGGAATGAAAGAGCAAACCACACCAGAACATCCGCCAGACACCCAATCATGTACACTGGAAGTTTGACCCTCCAAACCCTGGTCCAGTTCTGAAATAAAGACGCCACAAAGCCTGAATCAAAACACAGAAACTGACAACAGAACTAGAAACTTAAATGTAATAAGCGAACACAAAGTAAAGATTTTTACCTTTTATTCAGGGTAACCCACAATTTATTTCAAACCCAACATGTCATCCAACATAACAAGACAATGAAAATTTTGGTGAAATGTAATACAACTAGTTAAAATATTGTACTGAACAGTGAACAATAATTAGCAATATTATATAAAACAACTAAATACGAAACTTCGCCAGCGCGAGTAGAAAAAAAATATATAACTGCATTAAAAAGAAGAATGCAGATACTCTCTAACAGTAACAATGTGCAAAAAGAAAAAAAAACCCAACAAATTCTAGTATTTCAAGGCAGGTAAAAGAGACAAAAGGTTCAAAATGCTATGGAAGATTATATGACAATGACAATCTTTTATTCATCTCGCAGGGAGAAATTAGATCTTTCTAGATGGACTATTTCTTCTCTGAGCCCAGGCCCTTACATCTTCTGTCCACACAAACAGTTTTCCATGGATTTATCAGAGATTCAACAATAACGTGCAAACTATGTACAATGTGTTGTTAAGAATGTCACACCTAGAAAACCTGTTATCAAAGAAACTGTTATTATATAATCTTTGAGAAAAAAAACAAATGAACTCACTTTTACAGTCCAATTAAATACAGATTATTATAAATTCTCTCAACAATCCTCCCTCTCACCCCCCCTTCCCCCTCCCTCTCTCTCTCTCTCACTCTCTCACTCTCTCTCTCTCACTCACTCTCTCTCTCTCTCACTCTCACTCACTCTCTCTCTTTCTTTCTCTGTCTCTCTCTCTCTTTCTTTCTATGTCTCTCCCTCCCTCTCCCTTTCCCTCTATTTCCCTCTCCCTCTCTCTCTCTCTCTCTCTTTCTCTCTCTCTCTCTCACACACACACACACACTCACAAATATGTCTGGGTCTTATATATATCTATACACATAAATAAATTAATAAACTATGTACTAGGAGCATAACCTGACCATGAAGGAATAAAGGTAGAAAACTGAAATTAGGTACTAACCTTAATCTTTCTCTATGTAGTCGCCTCCCAGTTTTACATTTTTGTCGTGGGTGTATGACCTTGAAAAGACCTTGAGAATAGAAGACCCTCTCTTTGTCAAAAAACCAGCCCTCTACCGCTTCTTTTACCTCATCATCACTTTAAAATTGCTTTCCTTTTAAATCTTTTTTCAGTTTGGGGAATAAAAAAACGTCGAGCACGGCTAAATCTGGAGAATAGGGTGGATGTGGTAAAATTTCATAGCCACTTTCTCGCACTTTCTGCAGCTTTTCTTGAAGTGTGAGCTGGCGCGTTGTTTTGAAGCAGCAAAATGCCTTTTCGGATATTTCTTCTGCGTTTTTCTTTTATAGCCTCTCGTAATTTTTTAAGCTGGTTAGAATAATGGTCTCCCGTGATCGTAGGTCCATTTTCAAGATAGTCTGTCCTAATCACTTATTCTTGGTCCCAAAAAACTGATAGCATCACTTTTCCATTTGATGGCTGCACCTTTGCCTTTTTTTGGTGTTGGAGACGAGGACGATTTCCACTGCATTGATACAGAATTTGACTCAGGATTGTAGAGGTGGACCCATGTCTCATCCATTGCTACGAGTCTTTCAAAAATTTAAGTTCATGCTTTTCATACAGACCAAGCAATGCAAATGTTTCACTTTTTGAGGACTCAACAAATGTAGGACCCATCTCACAGAAACCTTTGTCATATTCAAATGTTCATTAAAGATTCGTTCACCTGATCCAATGCTAAGCCTAGTTTTTTTGTTTATTTGTTCAACTGTCACCCGTCAATCAGACAACCCAAATTTCTTGATATTCCACACATTCTCTTCTGCTGTTGCTGTCACTGGATGACCATCACGGTGGTCATCTTCAATGTTCATGAAATTGCACTTGAATTTTTCATGAATCTGCACTTGAATATTTTACTCCAAATTTTTATCACAGCATAGGATGGACCATCAGTTCCATATATGGCATGCATCTTCGTAAAAAGATCATGTAGTTGCTTCCTTGCAAGAACAAAAACTTTGTGACAGCCCTGAGCTCAATTTTCTTCATTTAATTTGTATGTTGAAACTGGAGAGCAACATACCCCTATTCATTTACTGTGCACTGGTGTTAAAACCAGTAATCAGAAAATCCACACAATTTACATGCATTCTAGGAAGAGAATTGTTAGCTTTCATTCCAAATTTCAGCTTTCTACCTTTCATGGTCAGGTAAAAAACTTTTGGTATGCCCCACGTAATAGAAACACTGTTTTTTTGGGGCCATCCAATTATAAAGTCATTAAAAAAAAGATCTGCCAACTTATACATTACAGTGTTCACACTTCTTTGAACTTCAACAAACAACAAGGGGAATCAACAAAACCAATAAAAACTTGTAGTGATATGTACCAAGAAACCCATAATCCCCTCCCGTCGTTTAACAATAAACACATCGAAATCACCTCATAACACCAACTTATCACTAGCATAATTATGTGTCGCGAAGCGGTGGAATCAGGCACTTGTCAATTTGGGGGTATGTGGAGTTATTGGTATCATCTTAAAGCTTGTTAATGAGTCTATTTATTGATTTAAAGAATACCCATCTATCTTGACTAGAAGTCGAGATATTTGCAACGGAATGACGTGGAGATGCCTTTTTTTCTGGGGTAAAGTTAGTGAGAAAATGGGTGCCAAACTTTGATAACCTTCCATACCTTGAGAGTCCTTGGAAACAGGGATTTAAACTTTTTGTGCCTTTAATCAACATTTTTCAGTAAAAATCCACAGAGAATTGTGTTTTCAAATTAACGTTAAAGGTGGTGAGGCAAGAAAAAATTGTTCAATTCGGTAGAAATTGCCAAACCAGTGGAAAAAAATGCCAGCTTCTTCAATTTCTTTGTTTTGACAAGTGCCTGACTTCACCACGCTACCTCACATTATATGGTACATCAAAATTTGCATGACAACACTTGGCACACTAAAGTGGCATCAATATTGCTAAAAAAAAATAATAATTTTAACTTCCTTTCCAAAACCTTATGCCATACCCTACTCAGAATATAGGAAATAAACTCCAACAGTTAAAAGAAACACATGCTCAGTTGCCATTCATCATAATCTTGCTTTTTTCCTAATACAGATATGAAAGGCCCTATCTTGTCTTGGACGTGAGGAGGAAAAAAATTTGGGCTGAAATCGGGGAAAGTATACATGTGTGTATATATGCATGTGCACAGTGCATGTGCTAATGTTAGTGTGTGTATGTGTCAAGAGTATGTACCTGAGTGCGAGTTTGTACGAGAGAGGGAAGGCTTGTTCATTCCAGTACACAAAAGCACACCTCCAAACAGTTAAAATTCTAAAACCAACTAAATCAAAATGTAACAGTGGACTCCAGATGTCAAAAGACTTTTAAAGGTAACTCTGAACAAACAGAACTGAGAAAGAAAAAAGGAAGAGCATAATAGCCTTAATGCATTTCCTGCTTTGAGGACCGAATTAACAATTTAACAAAGCTCTCCACAAAATAAAGAGACTGCGAAAGAAAAGACAAAAGCTTTTCCTCATGGATTCTCAGTTGCCAGAAAAGTCAAGATAATTATCAGAAAAAACACATATATATCTAGGATATATAATAACATCTCTAAGGCCAAATGTTCCACAGAAATAAAATGGAGAATTGCGATGGCTAAGGCTAGTTTCAATAAAATGAGCCCAATCCTGAA